AGCACTGCGTCGCAATAATTCTGCAACGGAATGGTTAAGCTATGTCGGAACGTAAGGGAGCCGTCGAGTTGAAACACCCTTATCATTGATTTATAAAAGGGGTTTTTACAAAGTCTACTGACCATTAGCATATCTATACCAAAGTGGCAGCAATATTTTGTATAAGATCGGACTTGGGCCTGGTAGTTTGGTAAATCTCCTGAAGTGAAATTTTGCTTGATCTCCGAAATAATATTGTTGCGTTTTAATGCTGCAGACTCTATTGTGTTCGAAGTTCATGTTAGACTCAGTGTTCGTTTCATGTAACGAATATTCGGCCATAACGTGTAGGAAGTTAGCTTTTAGTTCCTAAGTTTTCAGCTCAACCACATTTGATTTGCTTCAATTGGTGACAGCTTTGACAACAAGATTCAAAACGTTCATTCTCTATTGTTTATTCCCTTTGTATTACTCAAATACCAACTATTAGTCCAGAAAAAGAAGATTGTTAACAGAATTATTCAAATTAAAATTCAAATATATTTATTCGTCAACATATGTTACAGTAGATACATTGAAATACACGGTGATAAATAAATTTATGGTGACCCCTCTATGCTGCGCCTTAAGGTATACGAAGTAAATAAGTAAATGAGTATAAGGAACACAAGAATTATATATATTTTATAAAGTTCTTAACTGATATTAGCATGTCTGACACCACTATATTCACTACGTTGTCAACATACAAATAAATATTATGATTCTATACGCTAAAAATATTTTCATAAAAATAATGATTAAAAATATCAAATTACTTACTAGGATTCAAATACTCATCGATAGAATAAAATGTTTCATTAACAAGGTATTCAAATAAACTTCTTTTAAATGTCACAATATCCTTAATGGTCCTTTACGTCAGATGAAAAATTATTACTTTATATTATATAATTATCTTTGATATGAAGTATAGCTGTCTTAAAATATTTGTATCGTCGGTTGCTCGCTCAGAAACTCTGAAATCTAGTTGTAAAGGTTAACAATAACTCCGTAGGAATGAAGTTTATCACATAAATACCAAACTCGTCCCTCACAAATCTATAATCTAAATGCGTATAAGAGCAGGATGTAGGGGAATACTCACCACTAGTATTATAAGAAGGTTGAATAAATAAATAACAAAACACATTTTCTTTTATATTAACACTGCAATAATACACAACCAATTATGTATAATTAATCGTCGTACAAATACGTGATGTGTAAAAGAAATCGACTGCATATAAAAGTTTTATCTCTAATTTTCTAAGTAATTAAGCTTTATTAAGTGTTTTGAATGTCACTCAAACTTTGACGGGGATAAAATAATTTAATCGCGATAATTGTGGCTTTTCATAAATTGTGGTTCATATAAAGCCTTTTATTGCTTTGCTTTCAATTTGCTACTCACATCTCATGGATATGTAGCTGTTCATTTATGATATTGTCAGAAGAAATTTAACTTTTAAATCTTATTACGATACGTACGTAATATTGATAGTTATTACCATTATTACTGTTGATATTATTTTATTTATTTTATTTATTTATTTATTTTATCTTAGAGGGTACAAACAGCTTAAGTGCTATTACAATAGAAATTATATTAATAGTAGAAAAGCAAATAGTTCCCTACTGATAAATATTTAAGTAATAAAAATTGACACATTGCAAAACTCAGTACAAAAAATACATAAATACAATTCATTCTACTACAAACAAATACATAATAATATACAAATACATGTTATACAAACAAATTTATATTTATATTTAATAGTACTTGCTACCACTGCTACTTGCACAACTTAAATGTTAAAAAACGAACGCGACAATATATTCCTTGCGGACGCACTGCTAGTATTAAAAAGATCAAGATCAAAAAGGGTTGAAATTTTGTTAAAGTAGTTGCTTGCACGCCAAATAAATGAATTTTGTTTATAATTAGTTAGTGCGACAGGCAAGTGAATTGTAGTGATAGTACGAAGATGCTTTGTTGGAACCACTATGGAAATCTCAGATAGAAGTTCGGGGCAATCAATAAGGTTGGTAGTAATCTTAAGGAGATAGCTAATGTCTGCTATTTCACGTCGCAGCTGGAGGGGAAGAATATGGTGCCTTTTACAGATATCCAAATAATTACAGGAGAGGTATGGCTGATTAATTTTGTAGCACAAATACCGTAGAAATTTTTTCTGTACCCTTTCAATACGCGAAATATACGTGCCGTATCTTGGGTTCCAGATTTGTGAGGCGTATTCCAAACTACTACGCACAAGTGCACAATATAAAATCTTGAGTGTTTTTGCATCCTTAAAGTCTTGTGAACTACGCATCACAAATCCCAGTGCCCTAGTGGCTTTAGTGACTATAGTATCAATGTGCGTGTCAAAGAGCAGCTTGGAATCATGAACAACACCAAGATCTCTCACCGTAGATACCCTTTGCAATGTTTTTCCTTTTAGGACATAATCGAAATGGATGTCGTTCCGTTTCCGGCTAAAAGTGACGACACTACATTTTGAGGTATTCAGGTCCAACTCACTGCACACACAATAATAATCTTCAAGGCGAACAAGATCGGCCTGTAAATTTTCCGCATCAGATACACTGGTTATTTTAGCGTAGATTTTCATGTCATCCGCGAAACACAACAATTGAGATGAGCGAAGGGACAGACCAACGTCATTCACAAAGACCACAAATAGAAGCGGCCCCAGTAATGATCCTTGAGGGACACCACTAGGGACAGTTACCCAGCTGGAGATATAATTGTTGATAACAACTGCTTGTGACCGGTTATGGATGTACGAAGAGAACCATCTGAGTAAATCACCCCTAATGCCAATATTGGCAAGTTTTCGCAAAAGGATAGAATGCCTGATTCGATCGAAGGCCTTGCTGTAGTCCGTGTAAACGACGTCAACCTGAAATCCCTCACTCATTGCATCAGTTACAAAGTTATTAAGTAGTGCCAGATTAGAAACAGTGCAACGTCCTTTAAGGAAACCATGCTGCGACGGACTAAAGTATCGACTCAAAGCTACGTATAGCTGATTGTACACAATCTTTTCAAACACTTTAGCTACAATACAAAGCTTAGAGATCGGCCTATAGTTAGTAATGTCCTGTTTTGGACCCCTCTTGTGTACAGGAGTTATATAAGCACGCTTCCAGATCATTGGTACTGAATGCTCATCAATTGAGCGTTTGAATAGAAGACAGAGAGGTAAGCCAAGCGATTTAGCACAACCAATCAAAAATGCACCAGGCATATTATCGGGACCCGCTGACTTCGAAGCATCCAAATTCGCTAACAGTTTTTCAACGTCAGCAGGACTAAATATTATTTTAGATATGTCAGAGACACAAGAAGTAGTGACTAGTGAGGAGTCATATAGATCCGGCAACCCAGCAGTACCATTATCTGTTGCAGTAAGAAAGGTAGAGTAAAAATATGAGGAGAAAGCATTACAGATAGTTTCCCCTGAATTAAACAAATGGTCACCGCTATTCATGCTGGACGGTATAGCATTAGATTTCGACTTTGATTTAATAAAGGACCAGAAATGTTTTGGATTATTGCTAATGGAATTTTCAATGGACTTAATATAGGCAGCATAACAATCTTTTTCTACGATTCTAGCTCGTTTACGTAACATTTTGAAAGACTCCTCATCAGATCTATTTCCATAAGTTTTAAATTTATGATGGTACTTAGATTTCTCCTTTAGAATTTTTATTAAGGCTGGAGAGTACCATTTTGGATGAGACTTGCTTGTTATTATTTTCACCGGAATGTAATTGTCACGAAGCACATCCATAGTCCTATAAAAATATTCAACGCAGTCGTCCAGAGATTTAGAGGAAAAAACCTGGATCCAGTCAATTTTTAGAATTTCAGTATTGATAGATTTATAGTCAGCTCGGTTGTACAAAAACTTTTTATGTGGGGCGTTATTCAACTTAGCTACATCAGCGTAATCAACTTCAATTACCAAAGCACCGTGATGGCGGTCTATCGGTACAAGTGCCTCGGAACTACAATCACGAACAACAGCGGTATCGTTACTCAAAACAAGATCCAAAATACGTCCATACCAGTTTTTAATACCGTTATATTGTTTAAGATTTAATAAATTAATTTCATCAACAATCAATATCTCGTCATTAGAACTGAGATTATTAGGGTCAAAAAAAATAATCGCCAACCGTCGAGGGATTCCATTCGATTCCACTAAGGTTAAAATCACCGACTATTAAATATTTATCATTGGGAGAACCCAGCATAATGTCACCAACTGACGACCAAAAATAAGACAATTGTTGGGAGAATGAAAAACCCAAGCGCTGTTCACACAAATACAGTACACATAGGTGGAGCTTCACCGGCCTCGCGCCTTGATTTTTAAAAGTAATAGTTACCCACACATCCTCAGCACTCGAATGGAAGGTTAGCTGCGGAGTGACAGTCAGTGCACGGTGAACCGCGATTAGTACACCTCCTCCCAGGGATTGGCCGGTTACTGAGTACTCACGGTCTCGCCTAAAAACTATGTACCGCTCATCCACAATTTCTGTATCCAAAATACCATCCAGAAGCCAGGATTCAGTTATAGCTATAATATCGTATGAATTTAGACAGATATTACGAAAAAAAGTTGATGTTTTAGTGCGAAGGCCCCGCGCATTCTGATAATAAATACTTAAAGGTTTAGAATTAGCCATTGGACATTAAATACAGTGAAATTATTGAATAAAAATAATCTAAGTTTACCCCTAATGTTTAATGAAGTTTCTATACAATAAATAAAGGTATGTAAAAAAAAGGTATGTATTATGTTACACAAATGCAAAAACTACGAATATGCAGCTCAATTGCGTCCCTACATAATTTTCCTTGCAGGGGTATTCCACAAGGAGCGGTCGTGTAACCCACGTTATTATCTTCAAATAAAAGACAAGAAGTAATCAAAGCAATGGTTGTCGAATCAATACGCAAGTTTGGCTTGGACCACTGTGATCTACCGACAATGATTTGGAACGTTAAAAAGCTCCTAAGACTACTGGCTCTTAATATTGACAAGAGAGACGAACGTACGTATTTAATTGACTTTATTAATATAATAATGTGTAAAAAGTCATTGCAACCCATAGGTTCATTATTAGAATTAAACTTTTCGCAGCCATCTCAGTCTTCTTGTACATTTGGATGGTGTTTACGTCTCTTTGCTTCTTCTACATCTACTGCTTCTGCACAACCTGGTTCATCTTCTGGCACTGTCCAGAGCACGGCGAGAGCCTCTATGCCATTCTTATACTCTCTATGAGTATATGCAGCTGGTGTGCTATTAACAAACAGCTGTTTATGTGTTATTATCGGTATGTATTGCAGTATTTGCAGTAAATGATTATTAAAAATAATAATGTATATTATATATTTCTATTTATAAATTACATATATGAAATGTTTGCTTTTAGTGTAATGTTGCACCAATGATTGTACGGAAACCTTTGCCTTACTTCATCATCATCATCAACCCATTTATACGTCCCACTGCTGGGTCTCCTTTCGGACGAGGGATTAGGCCAAAGTCCGCCACTTGGCCCAATGCGGGTTAGGGAATTCACTCGTTTTTTCGAGGGTTGCGAACATTCTTCAACGTGCAGGTTTCGTCACGACCTTTTCCTTCATCGAAAAGTTCATGATAAATTTCAAATCATATTTCGCACATAAATTCGAAGAAACTCAAAGGTACGAGCCCGAATTCGAACCCACAACCCTTTGCTTGAGAGACAGTAGGTCAAACCATTAGGCTACCACGGCCTCCTTACTTGTTTAGATTGTTGATTGTTTTGTTTTGTTCATGAAGAAAAGAGAACATATACACAGAATCAAATCGGTTGAGATTTTATTTTTCCTATGTTGGCCTTGTTGTGAATCACATTCAGGATTATTTTTATTTAATAGCTTAGCTGTAACTGTTTCGCCATCTAGTGCGAGAATCTTATTATCTGTATTTAAACTTCCCAGGGAGGAAATAAGGATAATTGTTGAAAACTGCCTCTCATGCTACTCTTGGCCGCTTCCGAACAGCCGCTTCGCTTGCAACGTCGTGCAGAATCTCAGGGTCGTCAAAAAGAGAGCCATCATTTTCTGGATTATTATAATGGGAAATGGTGTGATCTATATCGTCAAAACTCTTTTGAAACCTGGAAGGCACTATCCTGAGGATGTTTTCGTCTTTTACGGTATTTTTTTCATACTGATGTAGATATGTAAATAACTACCACAGAAGTAATTTTGTGGTAGTACATTAGTTCAGGTACAGTAAGAATATTTATTATAATTTCCTTTAGTGATGAGGGAAACCTGCATGTGGTAGAAAGTTTTTGAAAATCATAAATTATAACCCAAACAAAAATTTTCTCGATTATTTAATTTAGAAACTATTCCATTCAAATTCACTTTGTTTTTAAATAAAATAATTTTTTATATCGTTTTTCGAAAGTTACGAGTTGAATTTTCGTTCACATGTATGTGTGGAAAATGTCATGTTTCTTTTTAAAATTTAGATTTTAGGATATTTTGATAACCCTGAAACTCTTTTAAGTTCAAAAATGTATGTTGATTTGACGTCTAATTTTGCTGGTAATAGGTAAAAAATCTAAAGTTTCCACGGGTGCTAAATAATTAAAAAATCAGTTGGGCTAATAAAAACCTTTGTCCCACAGCACTGCGCCCAATGGATGTTTCACCGAACTACGAAATCAACTTTTTCGTCCAAGCGATTGCAATTTTATTTGCATGCTTTTTACCAGCTTGTGTTACTGTTTTCTTCATTATTGTTACTGGTTATATTGAAGCACAAACGTTAGCACTCAGCGAAGAATTGACAAACATCTTGAATGACGCAATTGAACATTATAAAAGGAATACAGATAAAGAATCAAGGCCTATCAATGTAAACGAAAAACGGAAAATTGCAAATGCTTATGTGCAGAAGCAACTCGAGAATATAATCAAAATTCATACGACTAATTTAAATTTACTCAGACAGGTCAAGTGTATATTTGGAAAGCCTATTGCAATTGAGTTCACGTTAGTTATTATTGCTGTGACAGTAGAATTATTAGGAGGACTAGAAAATACTTGGTTACAAATGCCATATACTTTGATCATAGTAGCGATCGATTGTCTGATAGGACAGAGGGTTATGGATGCTAGTACGACATTTGAGCAAGCGGTTTACAATTGTAAATGGGAAAATTTTGATGCCACCAATAGAAAGATTGTATTGCTAATGTTGCAAAATTCTCAAAAAACAATGAAACTATCGGTTGGAGGTGTAATTACGCCGAGTTTTGAAAGCTTCATGTCGGTTATTAAGTTTATATATTCTGCCTATAATGCGCTGCATTCTACGGTGGGATAGAATTTAGTTTTTGAAGTAAACGTACAAAAATTAGTTGTATTTGTAGCTGCACTGGTAGGCGTATTTTGTCCTAGGTTCAATTCGTGAATAGTAGGAGCAACAAAAAGAAGTAATTATAGCCAAGGTGACTTATTCAACACTTTAGCACTGACACCAGAAATTTTATTAGTTGATGTCGCTTATTAGACAATAGTGTATTAATTCATAAAATGTATTCTTTCATAATCGATGAATAACTAATTACTCACTTCTCGTGAAAGATTATTAAAATTTATGTTAGGTTAAATTTTGTAACAGACATCTAAACGATTACCAAATATATTTAAAAATAAAAGAAAAAGCACAATTTCATATTTTGTCCAGGATTAACGCACAAAAAGTTTGTTTTATTTCATATTAAGTAGATTTCAATTGTTTCTTACAATATTCTAAGCATTTGTGCATGCATTCGATTCGTATACTTTCCGAATACGAGACTATGCAAGTCTAGAAACTAAAAGTCTCGAACCCACTTCGAATGTTGCTTGTGCACTAAGTTCCATTCGAATCTGAGAAAATACGAAAATCGCTTATACACCTAGAGATAACATGATCCCTGTGACATTTCGCACCGTTATTTTTCGGATTCGGAACTGGAGGTCTACTCTCGATCTCCGCCTGACATCCGTCCGAAACAATTACTGCCAAATAAGATTTGGTACGAATCGGATGTGGTGCGCAAACGCTCTTACGACGGTTTTATTGACTTGTAGTAAATAAAATTTTACGTTCAGGAATTAACATTAAGAGAAGTTAACTACTATTTTTCAAAATTTTCATCTAAATACCTATATTTAATTTGGCGGACATGGCCTCCTCAATCTCCGTTGTGAAGAAATATCTGATATCCTATAATTTCATGAGAAGCAATTTAAAATTCACTCGGTATTTGAAACCACTTTTATTGCAAGTCTAGATTTGAACATTGATGGTAGAAGAGCAATTAGTGTCTAAAGGCAAACGCAGGAAACAAATTCTACCACTGTCATGCAATGGCGTAGTCTGGCAGGATATTAACCGTTTGACGGTTCCATCGAAGTTAGAATGGAAAATAAATCAAAGAAAGCCTCTCTTGTATTCCCAGGGATAGACTGATGCGCTTGGTAATGTTATTTTCGTGTTCGAATAAATATGTTTCAAAAAGCGCTATTCTTTTATTTTTATTATAATTATCAATATGTTATTATAAATAGGTTGACTACCCCTTATCCTTAAAACTTTAAAAAATTTGAAATATGAAGAGTTTTTACAATTACTCTACTTCGAGGCCTAAAAAATGAACTTGATTTCGTACAATAAATGTCACACTTCAGGTTATTAGTAATATACGGTTACGGTTAATTTTATTTTGCTGTAGTAAGACGTGATAGTTCTAATTATTTTCTTGATGTGGTAAATCGTATTATGACATTTTATTGTATTTGACGGCGCGTCGATTAGTTTGTGTCTATTAGAGTGAGATGTGCTACCTGTCTCACTCTGACGTAACGCACAGCACTGGTGCAATTCAAACAGATAGCATCAACTGTCACCTGTCACGATAAAGGTTAGGGCGCGAATTCTCCCGTCAGAAAAGAAAGGAGAACAATCATCCGTCGACATCCTGTCCTAGCATCACGTGTTGTGCGGAACGTCTTACTAAATCGTTAAATTAAGTATCAATTACTGGAATACGAAGCTTATTTTTGTAAAATCTCATTGTACTCGATTAGGAAAGTGATTATAAATCAATAGTGGGACCAATTGTGTTTTAACCTCCTCGCCCGATAACCCACGTTCTGAGTAAATGAGAATGGCATCCAAAGAGGGAGATGATACTGTACCCGTGCCTTTATATTTTTAAGACAGTTAGTTACCAACACCTAAACAATAAACATCAATAACAACATTTTAAGAGATATGGAGCGAGCATTTCTCTACGTGATCGAATCAGAAATGAGGAGATCCGTAGAAGAACGAAAGTCACCGACATAGCTTGAAGGATTAGCAAGTTGAAGTGGCAGTGGGCAGGGCACATAGCTCGCAGAACTGACGGCCTTTAGGGCAGAAAGGTTTTCGAATGGAGACCACGAACCGGAAGGCGTTCAGTGGGACGGCCCCTTACTAGATGGACGGATGACCTGGTAAGGGCGACGGGTTACCGATGGATGCACGTCGCGTCCGATCGGCTGGTCTGGAAATCTTTGGGGGACGCCTATGTTCAGCAGTGGACGTCTTCCGGCTGATATGATGATTGACATTTTATATTTAACATTATACATATTTAAAACATTTCCAACACTTCATTTTAAGTTTTTATTTACAATTAAACAACATTTACACTTTCTAGCATTTATTAATTCCCTAATTTACTAATATCGCTTACCGCGTCGCGATCACAAGGTAACATCCTGTATGGACAGAGTATTCTGCGCTTACAAATAATGAACGCCTTTCAAGCATCTTTTTTATCACAGTTGCACGTAAATAATATGATTGCATGATAACTTGACTATAATGCCCAGACATTTGGTTGGCCATGGTCGGTAATGGGACGAAAAAAGGCCTAGGGGCCTACTATGACCTCTTAGAGCAATCCTATTTAAGCCTGTAAGTTGGATTGCCTGTCAAATTCGTACTATGACCTCACAAAAACAATTCACTGTCCACGCAGTATAACCTTCCCATTCGAAATCCGTTCACCTTTTCTTTCATAGCAAAATCGTATCATGACGTGTTATTTTTTTATTTTTTTTTAAGTTTAGTAAAACTATTCTATTTTCAGTTTCATAATTTTTATTAGCTATATAGCCAATTGTTAATAAATAGTTCATAATCTTTAAAGTATTGTTAATAAATTATTGGCATGAATGTTATTATGTCTTGCAATTTTTAAATGGAATTTTTATTATTTTAATAATTTTACTGACCATAAATTGTAAAATAACTATTAAATAGTGCCAAATTTGACTAATGCATTCAATGAAAATGTGCGAAAACAAGATACGTTCCGCTTATGTTATCAAATTACAAACTCACCTTATTAATTTCAATGATAATGACTAGACATGACATGTAATTTTATCGTACGACAAATTTGAAAGTGTGATTGAAAAGTTGCCGATAGCCCAAAACAACGTAATAATTAATAATAAAATTAATAAAAAATATAATTATTATCATTTTGAACACAATCGGTTAATAGTGATTGAACGCTCCCAGGATAGTACATCTGTCTATTTCTTTCATATGATTTAGTATGTACTTCCATCTCGCTCTTGTTAGATGTCAGCGAGTCAGTCAGAGACAACAATTAACGTTTAAAAAGTAAAACTCATCATCCTGTCAGGCTATTCCCGTTGAACTTTGTGTAGGCCATGGTAAGAATTTAAGCAAATCAGTTTTACCACGTCAAGTGAATTGCATGGAAGTTGGCTGGCTGCTTATAAACTCATAGTAGGCCGCCTGTAGGCTGCGGTCATACTATTTACGTGTAGGTGTGATGAAAAACATTGTGTTTCACGGGCGGTACGGGAATTACGAACTTCGACTCCAAAAGTCCTGAGACATGAGACTTGTCGACTTATGTCTCAGGGTGATTGCCGCTGTGGCAGCGTCTCTCAGATCTTTGCGATTTAAAGCAACCAGTCCATAGCACTACAACTGCTATGGACAGGCGTGTCGCTTAATGGCAGGCCCACGACTTGTTCGTCCGGTCATTATCTATCATAAAAAAACCCGACGCGAGTTAAGACACGAATTAATGCAATATTTATTTTATAATTTGAAGATCAGACTTGTCATGGCATTGGTACAAATTTGTGTTCTCTCTATTAGATACATTTTATTTTCAAAAAGACTTTTCAGGTCGCCCAAACATAATTCGCGACCAATGGATTCTATCTATTTCTATGGAAGATTATATTGCTAATGTTGCAAAATTTTCAAAAAATAACGAAGCT